ATTTAGCTTGAAATGGCGAAAGTTGAATTTGTGAAGATTTTGACCGGTAGTGGACTTTTTGATATCAGAGTTGGAATCCGATTCCGGAAGTTGGAGTAGCTCCGTAATGTTGAATATGACTTGTGTGCAAAATCTGAGGTCAATCAGACGTGGTTTGACAGGTTTCAGCATCGGTTGTAGAAATTTGAAGTTTCAAGTTCACTAAGTTTAGATTGGAGGGTGATTCGTGTTTTTAGGGTTGTTTGATGTGATTTGAGGGCTTGACTAAGTTCGTATGATGTTTTAGGACTTGTTGGTATGTTTGGTTGGGGTCCCGGGGGCCTCAGGTGTGTTTCGGATGCTCACAGATCATTTTTGGACTTGAGAAAATTGTAGAAAATCTAGTGTTTCTGTTGCTGGTTTCGTCCATCGCGTTCGCGAGAGAAGTCTCGCGTTCGCGTAAGGCATCTGGGAGGCCAGCTGAAGTAGTTCTTTGCGCTCGCGAAGTTTGGCCGCATTCGTGAAGGTTTGTTCAGTGGTGCATCATGAACACGTGAGGTGTATCGCGTTTGTGTAGAGGGGGTTGAACGGCTGGGACCCCAGGGCATTTGTTCTACGTGTTCGCATAGTAGGGGGTCGCGTTCACGAAGGAGTAGCCAGTGAAAGCTCCGCATTTGCGAGAGGTCAATCGCGTTCGCGTAGGAGATACTTGGTCAGTAAAATATTTGTTCAACGTAAATGCGAGGGTTAGGCCGCGTTCGTGAAGAAGGATTTACCTGGGCAAAATATAATATTTCAAAATCGAGGGTTTGGCTATTTTTATCAAAGCTTGAGTTTGGGAGCTCGGATTTGGACGAGATTTTGAGGGATTTTCAGAGACATCGACTGGGTAATGATTCTACACTTGATTTTGGTTATATCCCAATCTATCATTATTTCCATCTTTTAATTTCGGATTTGGGTTGAAAATTTGGGAAAATTGGGAAGAAGTTCTTCAACTAAGATTTTGGGTTTTTATTGAGATTTTGATATCGGATTTGGATAATTATGGTACGAGTAAACTCGTGAGTGAATGTGTGTTCATATTTTATGACTTTTATCCGATTCCGAGACGTGGGCTCGGGTCGACTTTTGGGATGATTTTCTAATTACTTGCTTAAGCCTTGATTTCATTAATTAGATTAGTTTCTTATAGTTATATTTATGTTATGTAATTGCTTTTGGCTAGATTTTGGCCATTGGGAGTCGGATATCCGTGAAAAAGGCATTGTTACCGATTGATTTAGCTTGGTTTGAGTTAAGTGGCTTGCCTAACCTTGTGTGAGGGAAACTCCACTTAGGATTTGGTACTGTTTTGATATGTGAGCGTCGTGTACGTGAGGTGATGAGTGCGTACATGGGCTATTTGTTGTAAAATCTGATTTTTTTCAAGTAATAATCTGTTTCTTCTTATTTGGGTTATACCAACATGTGTAATTATCCTGTTTAGCCTAGAATAACATGTCTACGTGTCATAAATGCTTATCTGAACTCTGTGCAGCATGTGCTTAGTGGATTTTCCTGCTTTTCTCTTGACTTGTACTTAGTCTAAACTATAGGATCTCTGTTGTAACTGTTATTTTCATTGTTTGAGTTGCGTATTTACTTTGGGACTACAGAACGGTATTCCGGGGGATCCCCCTGCATATTTATTTTTGGACAACGTACGGGGCGGTATCCCGGGAGATCCCCCTGCATATTTACTTTGGGACTACGGGTCAGTATCCTGGGAAATCCCCCTGCATATTTACTTTGGGACTACAGAACGGTATTCCGGGAGATCCCCCTGCACATTTACGTTTGGTACTACGAGTCGGTATCTCGGGAGATCCCCTGTTGTTATTTATGTGTACTGTACTGTTATCCGTCTGTGATTTCCTTTTAGTTAAATTTCAGTCTTTATTTTACTGCGATATTTTGTTTCGTCTTATTATTATATATATATATATATATATATATATATATATATATATCAGTAAGGCCCTGAGCTGACCTCATCAGTTCTTGACCAAGATTAGGCTTGACACTTACTGGGTACCGTTGTGGTGTACTCATACTACTCTTCTGCACATGTTTTCGTGTGTAGATCCAGGTACCTCCTACCAGCCTCGTCATTAGTTGCATACTCGTTGCTGCTCCGGAGACTTCAAGGTACATCTGCCGCGTCCGCAGACCTCGGAGTCCCCTTCTATCCCTTTTTATGTTGCTCCTCTTTTACTTCTTCTAGATTTTGATATATAGAACAGTTAGATAAATCTTAGAAGCTTGTGACTTACGATGTTCCGGGTCTTGGGAGACTTTGTGTATATTTGAGAGTTGATTATTGTATATGCCGAGCGGCATCTCTATCATTCATTTAAACTATCTGTTGCTGTTAGTTGTTAAGGTTTTGTTTCATTGTTGGTTATTTCCGCAAATGTTAGGCTTACCTAGTCGTAGGGACTAGGTGCCTTCATGACATCTTACCGATGGAGTTTTGGGTCGTGACAATATAGGCGCACCACTAAAAAAATGAGGAAAAAGAAATTTAAAGTGGGAATTGCTCTCTTGTCCGTTGGGTAAATAATTAAGTATTGAGCAAAGTACACTATTTAACCTTTATGGAGGATGAGTGCCAATACATAATATATAGTAGGCCAATTCTAAAAAATACATACATAAAATACCTAGTCCATGGGTCCATATGTCCCATAATTTAGGCTATAGATCCGCCCCTACCAGGGTGACGGAAGGGGGTTCATCACCGAAAAATTACACTGTGTATATGAGGTTAAAATTTTTTTTTATGTGTATATATCAGCGGTTCAAACCCCTTAGATTTTTTTCATGTGCTTAATCTTTTTTAATTTTTGAATCCCTATGATAAAAATCATGCTTTCGCGACTGGTCGCTGGTTGCTGGCTATGGTTAGCAAACACTACTTGATATTAAGATTCAAAAAGTAAAGCATGTAGTAGGGAACATATAATGTATTCAATTCCTTATAGACAAGGAACCTTATTTAATATGGGTGGACGAAGCTTTAATTAAATTAAGTAAATAAAAAAATTATTGATTTTTTTTGGTTCTTTTCCTTTTCATATTTCGATTAGTTTTGATTAATAAACCAGTAGTCGTTTTTATCAACTTCCTTTTCAGTCCCTTATCAATTACTTCTTGGTCGATTATAATCGTATTGTCAATAATCATCATGTCATGGTTGTTATCAACCTATGATCGTTAATCAACCTCCTGGTCGATGGAGATAAGTTTTTAACCTAATTCTTTGTCGTTTATCGACCCAAGGTTGCGAATCAACATCCTTCTTGGTTGATGGAGGCCATTTTATTAATTTCAAACTTTGGAGAAGAAAACAATAACAACAAAAACAAACTCAATAGTTTTTCATAAGTGGGGTCTCGAGAGGGTAAGAAGTACGCAACCTTATCCCTAGGTTGTTTCCGATTGACCCTCGGCTAGCAAACGACGGCAAAAGAAAAAGTAATTGCAATAAGTAGGAGTAACAACAAGATGAAATAACATCAAATTCAAGAATGCAGTCAAACTCTAGGTAGTAATAGTCATCTATAAATAAAAGATATCATACTAACACTAATGCTAGCGAACTAAGTAAGACAAAGAGAAACGCTCGACTACCTACGAACCTTCTACCCTAATCTTTAACCTCCACACCTTTTGTATAGGGTCATGTCCTCAGTCAGCTCCAGCTGTGCCATGTCCCGCCTAATAACTCTCCCCAAAACTTCTTAGGCCTATCTCTACCTCTCCTGCTGCCCATCGGGAAACCGCTTGCACCTTCTAACTGGGGCTACCCTAATCTTTGACCTCCACCTCTTCTGTCTAGGAGAAGAAAAAAAATGAAAAAAAAAATGAAAATCATTTCCTTAATTCAAGAATATGGCCTTTCGAAGTAGCAATCGACCCTTCTTGCTTGAGGTCATTTTTCTCTTCGCAAGAATCACTCAATGTGATAAGAACAAGTAGGACATGCAGTGCCCTTTTTACTACACCATGTGATGCACTGTTTGGAATATTTCCAAAGCAATTGGTCCAAATCAGCAAAATTTCGTAAACAAAAAGTTGGAAAGTTATCTACATCTTCCTCATCTTTTTGTACGGAATATATTATTGAGAGGAAAGAGATTATGTCAATATATCCTATACTTGTTATGTTCTTATGAACAATATGGGGTGTAAAACATAAGCTAATATAGTCACATACACTTCGGGTCGTTTGGTTGATTGTGTGGTATAACTAACGTCAGCATAAAATCCCGCCTAATATAATACTATATATGTTTCGTTAGTCGTATAAGAAAAAATAATTGCAACATTATTTAATTCATCATTTCTAGTTGGCGATATAAAAAGATATCCACATTAATTTACCCACAAATTTATATATTCTTTTGTGTGGGATAAAATGTGAAATAAGAATACGAGAATTAAACAATTTAAAGACAAAGACGTCGTTAGAATAAGTAATTTTGGAGTAACAACAATTACTTTATTATAAATCATCATACCGCATAACAATTCCTTCATTATTAATTATCATCCCATAACAATCCCTTCAACATTAATTAATCATATTACATAAACAATTACTGCATTATAATCACAAACACATATCTAGTATCTGAACCAAACGACCCCTTATGGTAATGTAAATCAAAATAGTTTTATGGAGCAAACTAAGAATGGTATGTAACTTGTTGCAATATGGGAAGCTTAGTCATTTTGTCCACGTTACATATAAAGTGCTAGAGAATATAATTGGGAGAATATTTAAAAGGTAGCTATATTCTCTTCCCATTTTCAAGATTGTAGAATGTGATGCAGCTGCATTTATCATACAAATGATGTAAAAAATAGTTTTGGATATTCAACCACTTGCCCTTTTGAGAAAAATTCCATACTTTTCTATTCAACCACTTTAAGCCTTATATATAGTTCACTCCAATTCAGGTTACCATATCAAATAAAGAAACTCAAAACACAAAGCTTTTTCGTTTCTAGTAGTCTTCACAAATTCTTCTTTCAACACAAATCTTTAACCAAATATTTAAACATTATGGATATGGTGATGAAGTTGGGTGCACAAAGTCCAGTTGTGATTTTTAGCAGAAGTACTTGTTGCATGTCTCACACTATCGAAACGTTAATTCGAAATTTCGGAGCAAATCCTACAGTTTATGAGCTTGATAGACTTCAGAATGGGAGGGAATTGGAAAGGGCATTGATTGAATTAGGGTGTCAACCAAGTTTTCCTGCTGTGTTCATAGGAAATGAATTGGTTGGTGGTTCTAATGAAATCATGAGTCTCAACATTAGAGGCAAACTCAAGCAATTGCTCATTAGGGCTAATGCAATTTGGGTATAGAAATATATACTTTAAATTTCTAGCTAAAAAGTGTAGGGCTTGATGTCATTTTTGGGCAGCAATGTACCTAGCTATTGAGGTTTTTTTTTCTCATCTCCAATTTTGTGGTTGATGTATTAATAAAGCAATATTCTGGCCATAATCAATTACTAGTTCATATCCATATCCTAAAGTTGCTTTTGCAAAATTTCTTAATTAGTTCTGTGTTTATGGTATCGGATGGTTTAGTCAAGTCCTTAAATATATGATTAAGAAGAAATAGCTTGTGAAGGTTCATATGAACCTTACAAATATAGAGAATGATTGTTAATTAATTTGGTTATATAAAGAGCGAGTTTATGATTCGACTATCGAGACACTTATTGGATTAAAATCTAGAAGGAGAAAGCCATACGGCTCTAAAGAATGAGTTGGAACGACAATACCGTGACAGTTATGCCTGACCGCAACAATTACACCCCATATTAAAAAATGTTGAGATTTTAAAAGTAAACGTCGAAACAACGATCACACAGGAAAATAGAAGACGATACACGAGCAGTGGCGGAGGCGGGATCTCTGCGAAGGAAGTTTAAAAAGAAAAAAATTTAAAAAGATTGTAGCTAGTGGGAATTGAACCTATGACCTTACAAAAGTTTTGAACCCCCTTGACCACTAAGTTACACTTTTAGGCTATGTTAAGAGGGTTCAAAACTTAATATATAGAGATAAAAAACAGATTTTGCCTTATATATACAGTGTAATTTTTCGGCGAAAGGGGTTCAGGTGAACCCCCTTCTGCCCCCTAAATCAGCCCCAGTACACGAGCACCGAATAGAAAAAGAATCCTCTAAGGAGATAAGAGTTGGACAAAAATATATTCATCTTCTAAACAACGGTAACTTGTTCATTAACTCTCACATTATTCAACTCAAGTTAGTCCATTCTTATTTCTCGAAGGAATGACAACATATAAACCATAATTGATTTTTCCTTTTATAAAAAGAAAATATAATTCTTATTTTGTTTTGGAGGAAAAGATTTTGGACTTCTATAAATTGAGGATATTTTCTTCTCATTTAGTAGCGACCACAATGTAGCCATAAGAGGTTTGAGAGTCTTGTTTAGGAGAAGAATTCCCTTTTGGACGTTGGTCGATTGACCGAACCATGTTAAACGTTTGTGTCTCTTTTGGTATATTTCTCTTTTGCTATCTGATTTATTGTCGTTCAAAGTTTGCTTTACTAACTTCCGCATGACATCTGATTATTTAGATCAAACTGGAAAAAGATATGTCTATGCCGTCGTTTCGAAATGTGTTAAAAACTAATTCCCTAATTAGTCGTTACATTCTACTCCCTCTATTCTAGTTTGGTGTATTATCTCTTTTAGCCCGCGCCAGAAACTATTTACATCTGGTAGCCGAAAAAAGTGTATAAAATTTGTATATTTTTTTTATATAACATACAGAATGTATATATATACAAAAAGTATATAAATTTTATATATTTTTTCGGCTATTATTTTTACTGTGGCTATACAATGTCATTTTTCCTTCTATTTTATATAGCACATTTTTTTTTTCAGTATCTAAAAAAAGAACAATATCTTTTTTAAATTTAAAAATAATTTAACTTTAAACTTTCTGTATACCCTTAAGGTTCGTTTGGTTATCTACCAAAATTAAGATTAAAATCTCGATATAGAATTTGGATTGTATTTATCCCATATTTTTTTATGGATATTATTAGTTAATATATACTAGTACAAATTTTATACCAAAATGGTTATATTAACTATTCCATATTGGATATGGGGTTAACAACCCCAAAATTATAATCCTAGGATTGTTAATTAATCCCTGGATATCTCATTTTACAACCAAATGACCCTTTAATGACATGATTTTAAAGTGACATAATTGCCATTATACGTTTAAAACCTCAAGTTCAAAACTTTTTCTTTTATTTTTTATAGAATTTTATGTTCATTCAAATACCTTCACATGAAAAGGAACCTAGGGGACAAGACGGGGAAAATAAGAAAACTATAATGATATGTGACCTTTCGTGGTAGTAAGGGAGTTTTTTTTTTTTCTGGATGAGAATATATGAATCACTTCATGATAAATATGACACACACTACTACATTCCCTTTCTTGACCAAACTTTATTCCAAAAAAAGGAATTTGAACCAAGTTAGTCATGTATCAACCAAGGAATTTCTCTGTTGTATTATTCGTACCACCTCCTTTTCAGTACGGATATTAATATGGACTTGATTTTTTTTTGTTTTTTTGGTGAACTAGATAATTATATAAATATAGCAAAATAGTTACATCATTGTTTGGGAGCTACTGCTCTAGAGTTGCATTAAAATTGTCTTGCATTACAAAGGGATTCCCCCTGATTTTACGTATAAAAACAGTTCCTAGGATGTTTGCCCACAAGGCCTTGTTTACAAACACCGGAGAAACTTTAAAATTTCTGTCCTATCCAATAACTTCATTTCTGCTCCTTCCTTTGCGAGGAGGTCCGCCACGTGATTTAGCTCTCTGAAATTATGTGTACATCTATGAGGACATATTATATTCTGAAAAAAGATTCAATTTTTCTCAAATCAAAGTAAAATGCTGATATCTTTATTAGTTGTATGGGAAAAGATCACTCCAGCTTGATAACTTTCTTTTTCCACGTTATATTGTAACTTGTTGTAATACAGGAACCTTATTCATTTCATCCACGTTACATTACATATATAAAGTGCTCAAGATCGTTTGGGGAATATTTAAAGGTAGTTATATTCTCTTTGCATTATCAAGATTGTAGAATGTGATGCAGCTGCATTTATCATACAAATAATCAGAAAAAATTAATACCTTGGATATTATTCACCCACTTGCCCTTTTGGGAAAATTGTCATCTTTTTCAATCTAACCACTTTAAGCCTTATATATATAGTTTCCCTCCAATTCAGGTTACCGTATAAAATCAAGAAACTAAATACACAAAGCTTTCTATTTTCTAGCTAGTTGCCTACACCTATTTTATCAAATACAAATCTTTCACCAAAGAATTAAACATTATGGATATGGTGATGAAGTTGGGAGCACAAAGTCCTGTGGTGATATTTAGCAGAAGTACTTGTTGCATGTCTCATACTATCGAAATATTAATCCGAAATTTCGGAGCAAATCCTACAATTTATGAGCTTGATAGACTTCAGAATGGGACACTACTAGAATTCCTGCAAAAAGCGACCAATCTTTAGCGACCAACGTTGGTCTGTCAAGAAAAGCGATCAAAGTTGGTCGCTAAACTGGTGAAAATAATAAAATAAAGATTTTAAATAAATTAGCGACCAACGTTGGTCGCCACTTGGTCGAAAATTTTGTCAAACTGTTGACCGGACTGGTCAGACTTGCTTGGTCAAAGAATTACTCAGATTAGCGACCAACGTTGGTCGCTTCATGGGACCCACCTACTAAATTTTAATAATTATAATATTATTTTTAAAAAATAATAAAATATAAATAAATAAAATTTAATATTAGCGACCAAAGTTGGTCGCTATATAAAGAGTAAACAGATTGAGACCAACTTTGGTCGCTAATTTGGGACCCAGTTATAAAATTTTAATAATTATAATTTTGTTTAAAAAAAATTATAAAATATAAATAAATATAATTCAACTTTAGCGACCAATGTTGGTCGCTCAGTATAATATAGACCAACTTTGGTCGCTAACCTGGGACCCAGTTAATATTTTAAAAATTATATGAAAGATAAATAAATCTGATTTAAATTTAGCGTCCAACTTGGGTTGCTAATTTAAAATTATGTATGTTTAGCGACCAAAGTTGGTCGCTATTTAGGTCACCATTGGTCAAAATTAAAAATTACTTTTGTATTTACTAAATAAATAATATAAATGTTAGCCGTTAACACTTTTGTAATACAAGGGATGAATAGTACTACGAAGCGTGCGTGTGTGTCTATATATATATATATATATAAATTAAAATGAATTAAAATCCTAAATTTATACTACATATGTACATAATTTTAAATTGAACTAAAAATAATTTATTTTTGTTTATATAGACCAAATTTGGTCGCCATTTTGGTCAAACGGTCAAAATGTGGCGACCAACTTTGGTCGCTATTTTGGTCAAAATAGTCAATACTTATTGGCTACCAAATATAGCAACCAAAGCTGGTTGCTATTGTTAAATCCAGAGTCAAAATCGGGTTAGCCCTCCCAATGTCTTATTTTCTTACCAAAAATTTTCCAAACTCTCTCTCAACATAATCTCCTCCCTTCTCTATTACCCTTACACAAATCAATCCCCCCACCCCTAGCCACTGTCGCCGGAGCCGCTACCGCCGCTACCACTATCGCCGCTACCACTGTCGCCGGAGCCACCGCTACCACTGTCGCCGGAGCCGCTGTCCCCCACCCCTTTCCACCACTGCTTTTTAATCCTCCTTTAATCTACCAACCTATTGCAAAGAATTCTACACCAACGTAGCCTCCACCAAAAAGAACTCCACTGTGACCAAAGTGAGGGACAAGAATGTTGTATTTTCGGGTAAAGCTTTTAATGATTATTTGGGTTTCAAGGATGAAGACGAGACCCAATACTTGGAGAAATTGGCAATGAAGGAGGAGGTTCGCCCATGGTTGGCCGAGTTNCGCTATTTTGGTCAAAATAGTCAATACTTATTGGCTATCAAGTATAGCGACCAAAGTTGGTTGCTATTTTTAAATCCAGAGTCAAAATCGGGTTAGCCCTCCCAATGTCTTATTTTCTTACCAAAAATTTCCCAAACTCTCTCTCAACATAATCTCCTCCCCTTCTCTGTTTCCCTTACACAAATCAATCCGCTCACCCCTTGCCACTGTCGCCGGAGCCGCTACCGCCGCTACCACTGTCGCCGGAGCCGCTGTCCCCCACCCCTTTCCACCACTGCTTTTTAATCCCCCTTTAATCTACCAAGGTTAGTAATCTACCTTCTTAGCTTTTTAATTTTTAATTTTTGCTATATAATTTTATGTAATTTTTCAGAATTTTTGTCTATTTAGTCTTAGGGTTTTTGGTTTGAACTACATTAGGTTTATGAAATTAAGGTAGAAATTATGATCTTTTAGTTCTTGTATTAATTTATATTGAGTTAAATTGTGAAAAAAAACAATTCATACATTAGCAATACCTAAATAAGAGTACTTGTAAATACATTGTCCTAAATAAGAATACATTATAAATACTTGAATTAACTAAATTAATTTGTTCTTGCTTTATTTATATAGATGGAACATCGTACTTGGATGTACAATAGAAATTATCCTAATCGGCGGAGATTGCGGGAGGATTTTGTAGAAGAGGTTGATGAATTTATTAGACATGCAATGTCACTTCCGCCATACATAAATGAAGGAGTAATTAGGTGCCCTTGTGTTAGGTGCGACTGTATGAAGTTTGGAAAATCGGAGGAAGTTAAGGTTCATCTTTATAGTAAGGGGTTTATAGCGAATTACTTTGTGTGGACTAGTCATGGAGAGATCGATGGTAGCCATGGGATAACATGGTTGTGGGTGAAAGTAGTAGGTCGGTGGAGAATACAAATCGTGATTCTAGAATTCATGATATGGTTGCGGATGCTTTTGGGATGCACTTTGGGGGTGAGCCCAATGAAAATGTTGAACAAACTCCTAATGATGATGCAAAACGTTTTTATGAAGCTTTAGAGGAAGCTAGTCGTCCACTACGTAACGGAAGTCCGCACTCTGAGTTGTCTGTTGCAGTTAGATTACTATGTATGAAATCTGATTGGAATATTTCTCAAGGAGCCATGGACTCTTTCATTGACCTTATGCGTGAACTAGTTGACCCTGATATCGAATTACCTGGTGATTTCTACAAGGCAAAGAGATTAGTTTCTAAGTTAGGACTTTCGTCAATGAGAATTGATTGTTGTGAAGATGGTTGCATGTTATATTATAAAGATGATGCAGGTTTGGACAGTTGTAAATTTTGCCGTTTCAAGAGGCTTTCCAGTGGGAATATGGTCGCTATCAAGTCGATGCATTATTTACCTCTTATACCTAGGTTAAAGAGGTTATATGCGTCGATGAGTTCTGCTCCTCATATGAGATGGCACTTTGAAAATAGAATACCACCTAGTGTTATGTGTCATCCTTCAGATGGAGAAGCTTGGAAGCACTTTGATAGGACATATCCAGATTTTGCTAGTGAACCAAGGAATGTTCGATTAGGTCTGTGTGCGGATGGCTTCACGCCTTTTTCTGTATCTGCCACACCATATTCAAGTATTATATTTCCATATAATACTTGACTTTTGAAATACAGAGCAAGTGTGTATGGGAACACCGCTATAACGCGGAAGTGGTTGCAAATTTCCATCTAAAAGCTCGAAAGCGGTTGTCCCATTGTTTCTCCAAAGCTAGGCGGTTGAACCAGAAGCCTGGCTGGTTGCTTCAGAATTTATGAGATGATTTGCAAAGGCAATGGCTTACCGCAGAGTTCTTACAGAAGAGCGAAAAAGGAAAGAAAGCCCGGGCATCTGAGAAGGGAGGATCCTTGCACACTGGAGATGCGATCAGCCTAGGGACGATAAAACGAAGAATGGTACGTAATTGCTTAACTTATCTTAATTTTCAAAGTATATGTATTCTGTTTATTAACTAAAATTTATGAGTTTTCAGGAAAAAAAGTTGGGGCGTCCGATGAACCAAGATGAGCTCTTCAAGGAGACTCATATTGTAAAGAAGAAGAAAGAGACGAACCAAGAAAGGTGGGTCGAGGGCCGAGCCTCGACTGTACATGTAAGTTTTCACTTTTTATTAAAAATTTTGATTTACTTTTATATAAATTTTGAAATAGTAATTCGATGTAATTTTTCTTATAGGGTCTCTTCACAGCTGAAGTGGAGCAGTCAGCCACCTAATGAGTCGGGCGCGCCAATCCAACTATCGGACGAGGATGTTGAGAGAATGTGGACGCAGGCTGCTGGCGGTCCAAAATGGGGGAAGGTATACGGGCTTCCTAATAAGAAGTTCCATCGCTATAAGTGTGGAATGCAAGGAATAGGGACTTCCTCCCAAGCCGAGCAACTTGATGGGGAGAGCCTCTCCTCTATGCGGGAGACTGTACAAAAGCTCACATCCGAGCTAGAAGCCGCCAAGGAGAGAGGAAGGCTTAGAGATATGCAGTACTCTGGCATGCAAGCTCAGTACAAGGGCACGCAAGAGAAGATCAAATCTCTCCTAGCTTCTGGCAGTTTTCCGATTCCCCGGTCTCGTGAGTCATTGCCAGAGGTTCGCATTCCCAGTGCTCGTTCCTCCCGTCCTCCCCGTGATCGTTCTTCCCATCCTCCACAAATAGCCGATTCTGGATACCGTCATGGTGAGTAAAGTTTATCAGACGGTGATGATAATGATGTACAGAACAATCTTTGAACTTATTAGTTTATACTAGACAAATACAATCGGTTTTCGAATGGTTTTGTAATAACAGTTAACTTATTAGTTTGGTTAGCTTAAAGTATAAAGTTCTATTGAACTTTATACTTTGTTCGTTATAATGTTGTTATTGTGTTGTTGTTGTTGTTGTTGTTGTTGTTTAGTTGTTGTTGTTGGCATAAAATGCCTATTTAGGAATTTTGGTAAGCTGGCAGGTGGTGTAGCTGCCAAAACAGGCAGTTCCTGCCAGCAATATACCAAAAAAAGCGACCAACTTTGGTCGCTATTTGGTCGTTTTTCTATTAAAAAAAACAATTTTCTGGGAAATAGTGACCAAAGTTGGTCGCTATATAACCCAGATTTCAGAAAAAGCGACCAACTTTGGTCGCTATATCTCAGAAAATTAACAATTTCTGGAAATATAGCGACCAAAGTTGGTCGCTTAATACTAAAAAAAAAAAAAATTAATTCATGAAATTAGCGACCAACTTTGGTCGATTATTTAAAAAAAAATTAAAAATATTTATAGTATAGCGACCAACTTTGGTCTCTATTTTCCAGATTTTAAAATATAATATTTTTCTTTAAAGACCAAAGTTGGTCGCTATTTTATGATTAATAATAAATAAAAAAAATGTAATTTACATAAAGAGACCAACTTTGGTCGCCAAAGTTATATTATTAAAATAATAGAGCGACCAAAGTTGGTCGCTATAGTCAATACCCGAAATATTTGGTCCTTTTACCTTAGGGACCAGCAATATAGCGACCAGGCATGTTTGGTCGCTTTTTGGTCGCTTTTAGGCCTATAAGCGACCAACTTTGGTCGCTTTTTGTGATCGTTTTTTACCGGATTTCTAGTAGTGGGAGGGAATTGGAGAGGGCATTGATTGAATTAGGATGTCAACCAAGTTTTCCTGCTGTGTTCATTGGAAATGAATTGGTTGGTGGTTCTAATGAAATCATGAGTCTCAACATCAGAGGCAAACTCAAGCAATTGCTCATTAGGGCTAATGCAATTTGGGTATAGAAATACTAATTCTTTTATGGGCTGAAAAGTCTAGGTCTTGATGTCATTTTTGGGCAGTGATATACCTAGCTATTGAGTTTTTTTTTTCTTTCTTTCTAATAATATGCAAACGTTTTTTTTTGTTTTTCCATTTCTCCAATTTTGTAGTTGATGTAATCATAAAGGTGTCTTATGGCATAATTATCATTTTCTACATCACTAGTTCACATCCTTATGCAAAAATTCTAGCAATTTTCACATGTGCTCATGGAAGTAATTAATAACATAAGTATGGGATGGTATAATTAAGTCCTTAAATATATGATCATAAAGAAAGAGCTTGTGAATGTTCATGACTTTAAACTTCTTTAGGTGATGAGGTCATCGAGAAGATTAATTAATGAGTGGCCGCTAAACGAGCACACTAATGTGGCCCGACTGTGGCCACACTAGTGAAATTACATCAACGTCCTTAGTCCTATTTCTCCCTACAATTTTTCCTTCAAAATTGAATATTAAATATGGAGAGCTTCTTCCTATTCCCAAACATTGAGCAACGTGAAATCATCCATGTTCACATGCGGAACTCATCTTGTTCACATACGGAGGAAGCTGAAAAGTCTTTACATTCATAGTATTTCATGCGTAAAGGCAAATTATTGTATTTTAAAAAAATTTGGTATACGATCACATTAATGGCTATAATCCTTCCCTTTTATCTTCCTTAATCTAAAAATCAATTCAAAGCAAGAAAATTTGGCGGTGCAAGAAAATTTGATCCAAACGAACATAACACAAATACAACAACTATGAATATGAACCAAGATAATGGGTTTGATCGAGTTAGGGACGAGTTGTATAGATCTTAAGGGATGACATCAAACGACGGTTTGTTGAATGAATACAATTGGGTCGATGTTTATTCTCGGGGCATTTTCAACAATGATGTGCACTTAGATGATGATGATGAAGAACTCAATGGAAAATATTATGGAGAAGCTGATGATGATGAGGAGCAGTTTTTAGGAAATGAGTTAGAATTATATGATGTTGATCGAAAAATGGAGAATGATTTCACTGAAGAGGGTGTGGTTGTAGGTCCAATCTCCGGAATGCCATATAGAGATAAAGTTTCTTCGTTTATTCTACAAAGAACATGCACGATTCAAAGGATTCTCCTTTGTCAAAAGAAATTCCAACAAGAAGGGTGGTGACACTGCTAGGTACATAACTTACTGTTGTGATAGGGCTAGGATTCACAAAACTAAGTTTACCACCAAGAGTAACAATTTGTAAAGCTAAGCTCACTGCTGTTTTGGGTGATTCTGATTATTGGTGTGTCTCTAAGGTCGTTCACGATCACAATCATGATTTGCTCCCTTCTATCGCGCCTGATGGCTGGAGATAGGTCCATTTGTGATTCTTTGAAGAGGGATCTTGTAGCTCATGATCGATCTGGAGTTAGACTCTCCATGAATATTAGAGTTGCTGAGGTTCAACGTGGTGGACCGCAAAATTTGGGTTGCACTCCAAAAGATTATAGAAATTTAATATTAAGGAGTAGGAATTTTAAAATATAAGAAGGGGACGCACAGTCATTTATCAACTTTTTTCGTGAAATGCATGTAAAGGATAGGGAATTTTTCTATTCAATAGATGTTGATAATATTAGTAGGCTGACCAGAGCAGATTTACTTTAGAAATGAGAAGGGTGTTGATTGAATAAAGAGTAACATATGAGTGGAAGCCTTCTATATGCTCTAGTTGTACCAAATATAGGCATACAGAAGATATTTGTAGGAAAAACAAGGCAACAATGGAAGTCAAGGTACAGGAAGGAACCTAGCAACCAGAGATGGCTACTCAACACAATGCCGACAATGAGGTGAATACTGTGAAAGAATAGGAGGATTATGGGGTCAAAGAAATAAGGAAGGAGGATATGTAGGGTAGGTGGCAAAGACAGAATCCTAGGAGGGGGCATTAGGGATGGGTGCAGCCTTATAAATTAACCAATGTGGTCAAGCAGACACATTCAGTGGTGCCTGTGGCTAATACATTTCAGAACCTGGAGAAGGATAAGGCAGAAACAAATACTACTAATGGAGGAGTTAAAGGAGGGAGTGGTACCATCTTCCCTATAGGGACTGTTTAAGCTATTGAGTTAGAATACAAGAGGCCTTAATAGCCTCAGTAAGCAGAAAGAGGTTAAACTCTTCTGCAATGATTAGAATGTTGGATTAGTTGGGCTACTAGAAACTAGACTAAAAAGTAATAAGGTGGAGAATATTATTAATTCTATATTTGTAGGGTGTCAATACTACAATAACCATATCTCACATTATAATGGTAGAATTGTGGTAGTGTGAAAACCAGAATGGTATGAGGTGAGGGTCATTAATGAAATTGCACAGGCAATATCTTGCCAAGTAAAGTATATTCCTATACAAGTCACATTCATGATCACATTTGTGTATGCACATAATCTCATAGATGAGAGGAAAGCATTGCGGGACTATGTACACCAGATGAGTGTAGGCTGCCAGCTTCCATGGATAATCATGGGTGACTTCAATGCATTACTACAACAGGAAAACAAAATTGGAGGGAACCAAGTAGCACTTAGTGAGTTGGTTGACTTTCAGGACTGTATTGATAAATGCATACTTATGGAGTTACCAAATAATGGATACAAGTACTCATGGAATGACAAGCAGGGGGCTAATAGAATCTTCTCAAAAATAGATTGGGTATTTGTTAATGGAAAATGGATATATACAATGCAACAATATAAAACTCATGCACTTCCAGAAGAGGTGAGAGACCGCTGTCCATTAGTAGTAGAGATGATCCAGACACAGGCAAGAAAGGGGAAAGCTTTCAGATACTGCAATATATAGAGCAAACACCCTGACTTTATACGCATTATTGAAGAGGGATGGGCAATGCAAGTTGAGGGGTGTAAGATGTATCAGATAGTAAAGAAGTCAAAGGCTTTGAAACAGAAACTTAGAACATTACACAAGAGAAACTTTAGCAATATCATAAATGAAGCTAATAAAGATAGGGAGGAAGTGTAGAAATTGCAAGCTATGCTACATGAAACACCACTAGATCATAACCTTCAACAGAAGGAGAAATATGCAAGGGATAAGTTCAGAGAGTCATCACTTATGGTAGAAAATTTCTTGATGCAAATAAGTAAGGTCACATGGATTAGACTTGGGGATGATAATACCAAGTATTTATTCTCCATTATTAGATAGAGAAGATTAGTGAAATCAGTGACTCAAATCAATGATGAGTGGAATCAATTGCAAACAGATCTTGAGAAGATTGCTGATGTGTTAGTCAGCTACTATAAGAAGCTATTGGGTACTAATGGAGGAACTAGGAGAAAGGCATGGCATGAGTTCTTACAACAAGGACATATATTGTCTATATAATAGCAGCTAGTTGATAAAGGGTGTAACTGCACAAGAGGTCAAGAAAGCAATATTCGGTATCAATTTCAATAAGAGTCCTGGTCCTGATGGGTATGGAGCAGGGTTCTATAAAGATGCATGGAGAATGGTTCGCAAAGATATCACTGGTGCTGTTATAGAATTCTTCAGCAATGGACAAATGCTCAATCAACTTAATGCAACTATGATAACTTTCATACCTAAGGTGACATCTACCAAAAGCTAGCCAATTTTGGCCTATATCTGGTTGTAATGTGCTCTACAAGTGTATATCAAGGTTTTGTGTAACAGGCTTACTGAGGTGCTTCCGACCATAGTAAGTGAAAATCAAGTAGCATTTGTGAAGGGAATGTCATTAGTTCATAATGTTCTTATGTGCAGTGACTTACTAAGACACTACAATAGGAAAACTATACCCAGATGTCTAATGAAGATTGCCTTAAGGAAGGCGTATGATATGATACAATGGGAGTTCATTGAAGAGATGTTAAAGGGTTATGGCTTTCCTCCAAAGTTTATTCAGTTGATCATGGCGTGTAACAATAACAAAGTTCCCAGTGAAGGTTAATGGAGAGGGGTATGGATATTTTAAGGGGAAGAGGGGTCTAAGATAAGGGGATCCAATATCCCCATTGCTATTTGTTATGGTGATGGAATATCTATCTAGGATTCTAAAGAGGATGAGCCAGCTGCCAGATTTTAGATACCACCCAATGTGCAAGGAACAACAACTCACTCACCTGACATTTGCAGATGATTTAATGCTATTTTGCAAAGGGAATGGAGAAACTGTAAGGAGAATAATGGAAGCACTTAGGCACTTCTCAGAGACTACAGGTCTGGAGGCAAATACAGAAAAGTAGAGCATGTATATTGCAGGAGTGGATGATGAGCTAAAACAGAAATTGTTGGACATCACAGGCTACTCGAGTGGCACATTTCCTATGATATATCTTGGTCTCCCCTTATCTCCAAAGAGCTGGAGTAAAGTGTATTGTCACCAACTATGTGTGAAGATCACTGAAAAGTTGAACACAATATCAAATAGGCACATTTCTTATTCAGGGAGGCTATAGGTGGTTGTGTCTGTCCTATTCTCTCTGCATAATTTTTTGGGGGGAAGTGTTCATCCTTCCACAACGTATGCTGAAGGAAGTAGATAAGAAATGTAGGGACTTCTTATGGTGAAACACTACAGAGAAGAAGAGGATACCTTTAGTAGCCTGGGAGAAAGTGTGTTGACCTAAGAACCAAGGTGGGCTGAATATCAAGAACTGCAAACTGTGGAACATAGCTTCTATTGGAAAGTTAGTATGGCTATTGATTAACAAAGGAAATACTATAGGTGAAATGGATACATAACATTTACGTGAGAGAAAATGATGATTTTTGGACACATCAACCAACACAGGATATCAACTGGTATTGGAGGAAGCTACATGGTATAAAACAACAGATGAAAGGGTGGTACATAAATGGTAGCTACTGTCTCACTAGTAATGGGAGGTAGTCGATCTCAATGGGGTATAACCAACTAGTAGGAGAAAGCCTAAAGTGGAATGTTGCTGATTTGATTTGGAACAGAATCATGCAGCCCAAGCACATGTTTATACTATGGCTGGCAGTGCAAAATAAGCTATTAACAAAGGATGGAACCATTAGCATGGGAATTCCGTGTGCGGATGGAGCATGTGGACTAAATTCCGTGTGCGGATGGAGCATGTGGACTATGTGAGCTGAATAGTCTTGAAGATGTGCATCACTTGCTCTTACAGTGTACATCGGCAAAAAGGGTGTGGGAAGAAGTGAAGGAATGGACTGGAGTGCACATTACACAGCATGATCTCACAGTAACGACCCGAGCGGTCGTTTTGCCTTTTAGAACCCTGTTTCTCTAAATAAAGCCTCCCGTACTTGCTTTAACTAATCTACGACTTGCGGGGGCGGTCGGTTCGGGAGTTAGAAGAGTTTTGAGTGAAAATGCCTAATTGTTTCTTTAAGAATTCCTTAAAAGGCCAAGTTTGACTTCGGTCAACTTTCTTGGGAAACGGACCCGGATTTGTGATTTGGCAATTTCTGAGGGTCCGTGAAAAAATGTGGGACCTGGGCGTATACCCGGAATCGAATTCCGAGGTCCCTAGACCGAGTAATGAATTTTTGTTTAAAATTGTTTAATTGAAGCTTTAAAGAACTAAAGAAACTAAGAAATCATTGATTCCCTAGGTATCGGGATCGGATTTTGGTTCCGAAGCTTGGTACAGGTCCGTAATGTCGCTTAAGACTTGCCCGTAAAATTTGGTGTCAATCCGAGTAGTTTAAGGGCGTTTTGACCCGTTAGAGGAGAACTAAGAACTTGAAGATTCAATTGTTTGATTCATTTGGTTTTAGGGGGTGATTCCAAGACTTAGCGTTGTTTTGAGTGATCCGAGGGTTCGAGTAGGTCCGCCTCGTGATTTTAGACTTGTCGGTATGTTCGGGCGGGGTTCGGGAGCCCCGAGCGTCAAACGGGCGAGGTTCGAGCGAAGTAGAAAAACTTAGGAAGAGCTGAAGATTTTGCTGCTTCTATCATAACCGCATCTGCGATCAGGCCATCGCAGAAGCGAAAAGGGCAGGCCAAGGGGAAAATCACAGAAACGGTCCAGGGACCGCAGAAGCGGTTCCGCTTATGCGACCCCCAGACCGCAGATGTGGTCCAGTTACTTTAGGCCCAAGCCGCAGAAGCGGTTCCGCATATGCGGGCCTCAGACCACAGAAGCAGTCCAATCCCCTCTTGCCCAGTTCCGCAGATGCGGCCCCATCTTCGCAGATGCGGGACCGCAGATGCGGTCCCCTAACCGCAGAAGCGAAAATCGCTGGGCAGTGGCCTTCATTTAATTCGAACTCAAACACCATTTTTCATTTTACACTCCACACTTAGGCGATTTGGGGGCTTCCAAAGAGAGGGTTTCAACATAGCACTTCCAGGTAAGTTACTCCCATTCATTATTAGTTTAAATACATGTATATTAGGTAGATTAAACACTAAAAATTAGATAAAATCAAAGGGTTAGAGCTAGACCTAGGGTTTTGATAGAATTAAGATTTAAGCATGGAATTTGTTATGAAATGGACTAGAATTTATATATTATTGATCCTTAGGTTGTAGAGAACATTTTCCTTAAAAAAATATCGGAATCTGGGCACGTGGGCTCGGGGTCGGAATTTAGGAAACTTGTGGAAAAGGTTGGGAAATTACTTAAATAGTTAGAATTCGACCTTTTAAGCCTTTATTGACTAGTTCTTACCTATTTTAACTAGTTTGTGATCGTTCGGCTTCGGATTAAGAGCTTGGGCTTGATCTCGATATTGGGAGCGCGCTTTGGAGCGAGGTGAGTCTCCTTTCTAACCTTGTAAGACGGAATTGTCCCCATAGGTGTAATAACTGAATAATTGTTGCTAAATGCGAGGGCTACGTACGTACTAGGTGACGAGAGTCCGTGCGTAGCTACTGTGATATTAATTGTATGGGTAGTTTAGGACCCACATCATCCTATTTTGAAAGTATCTCTTGTTTAACTTGCCACTATGATCATTCATGATATGCTACAGACTTAAAGGAAATATGAAGTGAACGTATGAACTTGCTAAGCCTTGGTAAGAGCTTCCTGATATATGTATGAATCTTCGTGTGCATTCTTGATGTTTTTCTTGATATTATGGATCGGGCTGATCGCCTAGGTGAGAATAGATGCATCTATTGTTCGTGCCGTTCGACCCTCGGCAGTGCAAATTTTAATTCTGTTGGAGCGGGCGTCGACCTCGGTGTGATTGCATATGATATATATATATATATATATATATATATATATGCTAATACTTGAACATAACATGCCTACTTGCTTAGAAATTGAAAATGAAAAATGGAAACTGAAATAAGGACAAGAACATGATTATTGCTCTTTGTTATAACTTGTTGAATATTGGTGACTCTCATGCTTAGAATAGCATAATTATATTATATTATCTTGACCCTAGTGAGTATCAAGTCGACCTCTCGTCTCTACTTCTTCGAGATTAGGCGGGATACTCACTAGGTACATATTGTTTATGTACTCATGCTACGCTTCTGTACTTAAATGTACAGGGTCTGAGGCAGGTGGATCCGGTTATTTCTCTGGTGCGCATTCGTGAGCAGGATTGGGACTTTTACGGTGAGCTGCTTTCCTTCCATGTCGATCCGCAGCCGAAGAAGTCTTTCTTTTGTATTGTTATTTTCTGTCTATTCNNNTATATATATATATATATATATATATATATATATATATATATATATATATATATATACTATGATCATTCATGATATGCTACAGACTTAAAGGAAATATGAAGTGAACGTATGAACTTGCTAAGCCTTGGTAAGAGCTTCCTGGTATATGTATGAACCTTCGNTTTATTCAAGCAGAGGGATCTCAATTTGAGACAGCGCAGGTGGCTTGAGCTGCTGAAGGATTATGACATTACCATTCTTTATCATCCGGGCAAGGCGAATGTGGTCGCGGATGCCTTGAGCAGAAAGGCGGAGAGTATGGGTAGCTTGGCATTCATTCCAGCAGAGGAGAGGCCCCTAGCTCTGGACATCCAGTCCTTGGCTAACAGACTTGTGAGGTTGGACATTTCAAAGTCCAGCCGAGTTCTAGCATGTGTGGTTGCTCAGTCCTCGCTATTGGGGGAGATTAAGGCCCGACAGCTTGATGATCCACATTTGGCGGTTCTCAGAGAGACGATACTTCAGGGAGGTACCAAGGAGGTTTCTATTGGCATGGATGGCATTTTGCAACTCCAGGGTCGTCTATGTGTCCCTAATGTTGATGGTCTGAGGGAGAGGATCCTAGAGGAGGCACACAGTTCGCGGTATTCTATCCACCCGGGGGTTACGAAGATGTATCGTGATTTGAGGCAGCATTACTGGTGGCGGGGGATGAAGAAGGACATAGTGAAGTATGTGACTAAGCGTTTGAATTGCCAGCAGGTCAAGTATGAACATCAGAGACCAGGCAGCCTACTTAAGCGGATGCCTATACCAGCATGGAAGTGGGAGTGCATTACCATGGATTTTGTAGTTGGGTTGCCGCGGACTTTGCGGAAGGTTGATTCAGTGTGGGTCATTGTGGATAGGTTGACCAAGTCGGCCCATTTCATTCCAGTGGCGACTATTTATACAGTAGAGAGGTATGCTCAGATCTATATTCGGGAGATAGTTCGATTGCATGGTGTGCCGGTTTCCATCATATCAGACCGAGGCCCTCAGTTCACTTCCCATTTCTGGAGAGTCGTGCAGAGTGAGTTGGGGACTCGTGTAGAGCTTAGCACAGCATTCCATCCTCAGACCGACGGATAGTCGGAGCGGACGGTGTAGATTTTGGAGGATATGCTTAGAGCATGTGAGATTGATTTTGGAGGGCAGTGGGACTAGTTCTTGCCCTTAGTGGAATTTGCGTACAATAACAGCTACCAGTCCAGCATAGAGATGGCCCCGTATGAAGCTTTATATGGTCGACGTTATCGTTCTCCTATCGGGTGGTTTGATCC